AATTTGCAGCAACTCGCGTGAGTAGTGCAGTGGCTGCGTTGGTAGAGGCGGCGCTCGTATGCAGATCGGTCCGGGGTTCGAGACCGGTGGAGATGAGACATTTTTTATTGTTTTATTTTTTTTATTTATCTAGTGGCGGTGTTGGTAGAGTTGGTGCACGTTGCGCAAATAATCCGGGTTCGAAACCTGGTCTCGCAATGTCGATTTTTATTTGTTTTCTTTTTTTTTGAATACTCGATACAAACTACGGAAAATTTAAAAAAAAACTCAGAGGACTGGGATCAGGGTATCTCCTAGTCGGGCACCCCGACTAGAGCTTTCTTACTTGTTATAAATGATTTCATCCAGGTATGACTTATTCATTTATCAACTGCACAAAATGGGAATTTCCAATTTACTTGTTCTTTATTTTATTTAAGTATTTAGCTGTTAAGTATTTAGCGCTTAGTCATAAATGGAAGCCAATCGTTGGCCTTATCACAGCTCTATGACTCGAAATATGCGTGGAGCAACTTAAGGCAAGTAACGGAGGGAACAGGCAGCGACTGTGCGTGTGTGATAGGGACTGCAGTGTATTTAATCCGAATTCCTTTAAGATAACAATAAAAAGAAAACAACAACTTTTCGCATTTAAACTCTAAGCAATACTTGTGAAATGTTAAGTAAATTCATCTTGGACAAAGCTTTCAAATATTGACACACGAATCCTTTGGCTGTTAGGCAAACACAGCTGCTTCAACCCCCGAAAGTCTAACACCCCCTTTGAGTTACCCCTCAACCGTCCCGTTATGGTCATAAAACAAAACTGCGGGCCACTGCAGGCAAACAACATAAAACCCTCGTAAGAAGCTAACAACAACAACAACATTGAACACTTGACCGCTTGACCTAAATTTGGCAAGTTTTTCTTCTTGTTTTTTTTTTTTTTTGGCGCCAGATTAAGTTGAGTCCGTCCGTGCGAACATCAAATGTCAACAGAGCCCGAGAAATAGTACAAGAGAAATGTTTTAAAAATTATAACACGTACGCAATTTTGTCCTGATGCGCATAAAATAGGCATAAAATACGGGGCGTGGCCACCCGGCCAATGACAGCTAATGCTGGGCCAAAGTCTAGGGCAGTCGACTGTGGCAAGGGTTATCTCTGAGCCACCGCGTCAACTACACCTCATTTGCTAGCAGGCAGCAAAAGTTGGCTTTGATTTGCTCTCCTCTTTTTCTCTTTTTTAGTCAGCTACTTGGCTAATCTGCTCACACGCACAACGCCTGCGGCAAGGTGTTGAAAATTGATTTGCGCTGCGATAAATTACTACAGCAACTTTTCCCAAGCTCAAGCCAACTGAAATTAAAGATGCTCTCTTAGGCAGCAGGCAGCAGGCAGCTGGCAGCTGGTGAACCAACGCAAAGATAAGACGTCAACGATGCCGGTACAGGAGGGAACACGTACCACATTTTAGCACACTATTTAAGCAGTGCTCCACAGATCCACGGATCTGACAACAAAATGTGTCAATTTGGCGTCAAAGACATTGGCACAGAAAGGCAAATGTGTGCATTGCTAACAATACCCTGTAGACGAAGTTGAGAAATTTGTGTTTAAGTGGCGTTTCCAGCTTTCGCCTCTCTATGCAATTCTCATAAGCACAGAAAATGACTTCGTGCCTTCAAGTGCAGCCAACCCGCCTGATCTGCCCATCGACAGGGTACAACAAGACATGTTAACATTAGCAATGAAACAAGCTGCTTCTAACATTGAAGCTGACTGCAACTGCTGTCACGCCCACTTGCCACACACTCCGCCTCGGCTGTGAGGTGTTTTCTGCTGCCTCACGTACGCGCAGCGAGCAAGGAGAAGGAAATCTCCCCGCTTGGTTAGGCAGACAATAACTATAATTGTCGCATCAGCGTTTTGTGCTGCTGCTGCTGAGGCTCCTCCCGCTCCTGCGGACAGTAAAAACGACGAGTCATTGCGGAGAGTGGGCGAACAGACGGCACAGGGCTGGAGAGCAATGGAATGCCATTAGGCAGCACACAGGGAAATACCGCGTGCAGCAAGCGCCGCACATAGGCAGCAATTTCTTTTGTGGGTCTGTGGAGTGTCTGGGTGTGGGATATAAAAAATTCTTAAATTAAAGTCAATTTGACGACTCGTTGAATGTGCAAAATGTCAGAGCATGGCGCCTTGATAGAAGTGAAATTTAATGTTGATTAGCAAAATAGAAGTATTGAAAAATGGAAGAGTAAAAATATTTTAGATAAGAGAAACTTTCATTATATGCGCAAAGCTAATATTGTAGAAGTATTTATTTCAAGAACACGACCGCATTTAAATGATTTGGCTCGTCTTATCTTATCTAATCTTATCTAATGTAATCTTATAATTGCATTAAATAAAATACTGTATACAGAGTTCCTTGCTCTGATAAGATACACACACATAATATATATTAAATACAATGAGTTATTGAAGAAAAAACTTGTGGCTTGTGGTATAACCCAGGCTAGCTATGTGGCACGCCCACTGCCCACTCTTACGCAGGCTCATCATACCTCGAAACTCGATGTTCAATGGGTATTAAAAAACATTTTGGCAATTAAATTTGCTGTGGTCTCAGCTTCGGGCTACTCAACAAGTTTATGTATTCCCTTTACACAAGCACAGCTCAGTTTCCAATTTGCAACATTAATTAACTGAATGGCAAACAGTCGAGACTTGTGAAATTTGTAAGCAATACGAAAAGACAATATAAGACAATGGTCGGACGCTCGGTCGGACTGCTGCATTCAGTTTACGAGAACATTTTAATCTAATTTAACACACTTTAGATTTATATTTGCTTAAATAGAAGTTATCTAAGTGGCACGTGCCGGGCATAGCCAATGGGGCCAACACAACACAAGGCACAGGACAGTCGGACAGTCGGACAGTCGGACACTGCTCAGCATCCAGCTGCTCGGGCCACTCGGCTTGGCTACACAATGGAGCAGAGCCAGTGGCAGACGCGTTTTTATTATAGTTTATTTGACTTGCTGTTGCAACAGTTTAAGACATGCAATCGAATTGAGGAGCACGTTTATTGGCCCAAATGCCAAATGCAATCAATCTATGGCAATTGTCCGCTCTACAAAGAAGCTAAAAGCAGCTCAGCCATAGACGCGCCGCAGCAGCGTGAAAAACGAATAGATGACGTTCAGCAGCGACTGCAGCATCTTTAGATTCATGGGATAAACGCCGCCAACGAGTATCTAAGGATATATCAAATATATATATCTATATATATATAACTGCTAAGAGAGCTTTGCTTACTGCCAGCGGCTTTTGCGAGCGCATGATGAGAAACTTCAAAGTTTTCTGTGTCTCTATATCCAGATCCATCCAATTGCTCTCATAGGCGGCAATCGATATATAGAAACTCTGCAAAATATTCTGGATTAATATTCCAATTCGTAATTAGCCATGTGTGCATCTACCTGAAAGTAGAGCTCATTGGCAACGTAGTAGAGCACAACGCTGTTAGCAAATATCATGATCATGTAGAAAGACACGATTACAACCTGACCGATTGTTGGCGACTGTTAAGAAAGTTGATTAATTCTTGGTCTGGACTTTGACTAAATTAGTTCAGTTTCTTCTTTGATATCTCAAATTATAATTTGCCACTTACAATGATTAGCGAGAAGAGCAATACACAGAGCATCGCTCCAAAGCATAGAAACTCCACGAGATGCAAATTTGTGTTCAAATCGTTCATGGCATCGACCAGGCTAGACAGGAAGGCTTGGACTTGAGCTTGAGTTGTTGCTGGTAGTTTTTTGGACGTCATAGCTTACCCTGCCAATTTGACCTGATATCGTATGCACCATATAATTTCGTCACGCACTCGAATGCCCCGCAGGCGCCGCAAGGTGCGCAGCTTGTGCTGCAGCACGCGGCACATGAGTATGGCAAACAGTGTGAAGGTAACAATCAGATTGGTGTACGGTATGTACATGCAGCAGCCCATGGGCGCCATTATGACCTGCACCACAAAGAAGACCTCGTAGCCGGGGCTGGCATATTTATCAATACCAGGCACATACATGCCATAGGGCAGCACTGCAAATACAATTACAAATACAATCACAAGACTGGGTCGAGTTGCTGTTAAACAAACCACGCTCTGAGCCAAAAATGGGGTATGTTACCAGTCCTATGCACGTGCAAGTGCCCATTATTAAATTAATGCGACCTATAAGGATGGAAAGGCGCGTCGTCTTCGCTATCAACTCGCCAATGTGCTCATCTGAAGAACTCTGTAGAGATACGGAATAAAATGATAAATAGGTAAGTGGGAGCAGATTTCACTGAGATTTCTAAAAAGTAAAATAAATTATTGAAATAGCCAATTGGAGTAGTAGCTTACGAAACTTTAGCTAATACAGAATGTCGAATAAATCAAACCTACACAAATATAACAAGTAGGCTAGCTCTAGTCGAAACTGCTCGACGAGGAGATACCCTGCACCCGTTAAATTGTTGAATAACTTTTCATCAAGATGGACTTTCTTCTATATATATATATATATATTGCCACGCCTCCTTCTGACTGTTGCATATATTTACCCACTTTCTTTATGTATTTATCATACTGCTGTGGTTAGCGACCTTGAGTTGTCATTCATGTTCTGAGCAATGAACTACAAGCTTACCAGCAGTTGGAGATAAAAGGCTTTTAGTAGTTCTAGGAAACGTTCGTATCGGCCGCGGTGCACACACAGTAGAATCCCACGCACAACTGTATTCGTAAAGAGAACAGCCAGATAGACGTTGCGTATAATGAAGTCCAGAGGCTCGGAGCTTAAGTATATATCCACATATTGAGTCACATTGATGAGGGCGAAGGGCGTGAGTGCCACATAGCGTCGCCAATTGTGAACGAATAGATATGACCAGAATTTCATTAAACGCAACGTACTGCCAAAGATGGGCATGTCCGGCGTAGACATTGTCTGCAGTTCCATTTCAATATTTGGTTCGTTCTTCAAATACAGCCTTCAACTGCTCAATTGTCGCTGAAGCTACTTGTATATATAGACTTGACTGTGCTGATGCCATCATTAGCGCCCAATTAATGGCTGCGAGTATGTGGCGGGTGTTAATTGGTCTGTCAGTCTCTAATTAAAGGTGTAAAGGATATAATTTGATGTAACTATCACTCGTTATTTTCTTTCAGCTTTCAATGTATATTCCTTAACGAGCATTTGCAGAGCACAGAATTAAAACTGAAACTTTGCTTTAAGTCAAATAATATCTGTGGCTTTTTAAGCAATTACATAAACTCCATTATAAGCAACCAATGCAGAAGTGTAATTTGCAGAAACCTATCCGAAATCCAGGTCACCACATACATTTTGGCGCAATCTCTTTATTTTTTTGGCAGTGTTTGCAGTGGCAAACAAATAAAAGTGTTCGAGTCGGATGTGACTGACTTGGAAATACCCAAACTAAGCTTTTTGATTGGTTCAATGCAAGTGGCAGATGTTAGCGATATTTTGTACACGTTTTAAACTTCAAGTCTCTTCTCATGAGTCTCAAGATCAAGGCATAGTAAGAGGCAGGCAGACTGCCAGGAGTAAATCGATTCGGTTTTTCAAGCTGATCAAGTCTGTTATATACATTTTATATATATATAAATTTACTCTGCCAAGTGACCCAATGCTGACATTTGTGTGGTAAATATTTGCCTGGTTGTCAGCGGCAAACGGCTTGTTGGCAGTTTTATGGCCGAATAGCCAACGTGGAACAATTTGTTAAGCATTATCGAAATGGTAACGTAGCTCGGAGTTGGCTTTAAAGTGCTGGCACTCAACACGACCTGGGCCAATTGTTAGTGTTGGTCAAGCCGGTCATAAATCGCATGCACTGTGCAACACTGTGCAGACGTCGCTGCACTTGACCTCTTGGATACTCTCTGATTGCGGTCTCGACATTTGTAATAAGCGTCGGCAAACTTTTAATTGCAACACGCAGACAGCGCCAGGACACAAAGTATTGCGATGGGCGTGGCATGTGTGTGCATATACGCTTCTGTGTTGTTTGCAAACTGTTTTCTGCTTTTTGTTTTTTTTTTTGAGTCTGTCAGACAACTCTGGCAACGCTCGAAATTGAAATTCTCCGAGCTTTTCGGCGAAAAGTTTTGCATGTGCATGAGATGGTCCGTTGTTGATTTGTTGCTCACTCGGTTGGTTGGCCAGTCGGCAATAAGAATTCTGTCCGCTTGTCGATACTAATGCACACATGCGTCCGGCGCCGCTCCTGTGCGGCAAATTAAATGCATAATTACTTGATAATTGGATTTGCGGTCGGCTCAACTGGTTGTGCGAAATTTTCTAATTAAAATGTTTAGTGGCTGGCGAGACTATGGCGTCACTCCCCAATTGCCACTTGATGGCGATAAGCCTCAGGCACGTAGTCCTCCACACACACACACACAAGTGTGTGCCAGTCGCCTGCTGTTCGCACTCGAGTCCAACAATCAACCTATTACATTGTTTCAATACTCTTATCAGTGCGGCATAGCAACTAGACTGATTTGCTTTGCAAGTAAGCTGAAGTAAGCTAAGCAAATTAAACCTCTAACGCTTAAGAGTGCCTGAAGACACTTATTACATTATTAACTATAACGAGTAAACTTAAAGTTTTTATATTGCTAAAATATAATATATATTTTTTTATATATATATTTTTTATATATATTTTTTATATATATTTTTTGAGTATGTAATGAACACCAAATTACGTACGTTGTCTTTTGTTTTGCTTATAAAAGTAGAATATATAACTGTTATTTAGTCGGCAACAACAAACCTGGTGCAGTACCTACAAATTCGGTATGCCGACGCTACGATTTCCTATCTCTCACCTTGCCTGGGGTGTGTCGCTCTAAATAAATAATAAACACCATTTTTTTTGGGGGGCATGCACGCTTAGCTGTAATAAATTTCCATTTGGTTGTTGTTGTGGGCATGGCGCAGGGTTGGGTCTGTTCGCCCAATCTCAGTCAGGGCGCACCATAGTTTGGCGACTTTAAAATTTCGTAATACAAACGAAATTTATTGCTTGCACTCAGGCGGCATTGCCTGCTAACTTATTCATATGAAATTGCCTGATTACCGCCCACCAGCATACCTCAATTTCTTTCACTCTTTAGCTCCCTCTCTCCCTTTCTCTCTCTCTCTCTCTCTCTCTGTAGTGCTGTCTTTGTCTTTTGTATCGCTACGTGTTTGAATTATATGCCGGTCATGGATATTTGGTAGATTTTTGCCACGTAATGCGCCTGTTTGTATGGCAATCGCTGCGCTGGGCCGCATTTTTTATGAACTGTTGGGGCCATGACTTTTATGATTTATTTTTTTTTGTCGGCTTGAATAGGAAATTGTACTTGTATCTGACTGCGTGTGTGTGTGGGTGTGAGTGTGAGTGTGCCAAGTACCAACTCACCAGTGTGTAGTTCCGAGTCACAGAAGTCATTGAATTAAGCAAATGGTCAGGCAATGCGGTAAGGGTCTTTTGAGTGAATGGCGTGAGTGCAAATAAACTCTATTACATCTTTCATATGTACATACATATGTGCTGCAAAAACACAACTAAATGCCTCGACATGAGAGGATCATAAAAATATTATGAATTATTAAATAAAACCATCATGAATTTCCATAGATTTGATGGCCAAAATATAAAAGCCAAATAAAACTAGACTAGAATTTTTTTTTGTTTTTTAGCTTTATGTTTCTATTGAAAACTCTCTTAACTCTGCCTGCAGTAAGTTTAAAGCCATTCGCTGTATTTCTTTAAAGAATTCCTTATTATTATTTTAAGACAGTCGCTGAAAGAGATCTTCTACTCGTTAACATTAATTATACTCCGAGTCTTTTGCATATATACAAAAGCGTCAGGCTCTGTGACAAGCCCTCAGGCTCTATCAATATTTTTGGCTTGTGGCAAATCCCCTTTCGGCAAACGCAGCACATAAAACCAAAGGAGCTGCACGTGCAGGAAATCTCAGCAATACACTTGCCACACTTGCCACGCACACACACACAGCAATACCTTGGCAAGCACTAAAATATAAAATATAACTTAATCCCAATGAAATTGATATGAAATTTTACACAGTGTGCGCCTTTGCCACACTCAACGCGGCTCTCAGGACGTATGAGCAATGTCAGAACTCGAAAGTGTTGTCTGTGTATGTGTGTGTATGTGTGTGCGTGTGTTGCCAGCAAATTTAAATTCCACACATGAGGTGTGAACATTTTTGTTGATTTGCTTGTAAAACTTTATGCCACTCCGTTCTCCACTATCTCTCTCTGTCTCTCTGTCTCTCTCTCTCTCTCTCTCTCTGTCCCGGCGGCTGCCATTTTGTTTATTTTATTATTTTTCGCTTCTATTTTCCTATGTTGCTGTCTGACTAATTTGCAGGTGTTTTTTCTGCGCCTTCTTGTGTTTGATATAACTTTCATGTTTACTTTGATAATTTTAGATTGAAAAAGTTTTTTGGCTGTGCGGATTTTGTAGTCACGTCGCAGATTTGATGAAAAGTGAAATTATAGAAGAGTGTCGTGAGAGGTGCACGCTTTAAAACTACAAAATTTCCCATCTCCTTCAAAACTCACACCGGTTTTAGCCGCGACCTTGTACCAGTTTCTTTCGTTTTTCTTTTCTATGTTTTTTTTTTTTTTTTGTTCTCTCAACTGTGGTGCGTCTTTTGTTTGCCGCACGCCTGTCACGCCCATTCGCATGCCTTTACTCACGCAGACCGCGGCCTGGACCAGGCTGTAATTTTATCTCACTTAGTGCCTGCTCAGCTCGCAGCTGCTTAATTTTTACACTTGACGCGCACTCGTCGACTTCTAAATGACATCCCTAGAGGTACGCGAGACAACGCCACAGAAAAAAGAAAAGAAAACGAAAACTGGCACAAAGTTTTCCTTGTTGCTGCTCTCCGTTGTCATTTGGGGCGACATCAAAAATAAAATATAAAAAGGGAAAACTTTCTTTTTAGTTAGGCTTAATGAAACATGTTTGCAACAAATTTTAAAATAGAAATCATATAGTTTTTCTCTACGGAATCTTCTATATAAAACCTATTAATAAATACTGATACATAAATTATAAATTATGTACTAAAGAAAGATAATGTGCAAAGAACTCTTCCGTCTTCTGTGAGCTTTCTTTATCTTTCTGTCTTTATCTTACTCAGTTAAAAAAAGAATAAAATATATTTTTTTATATTTTTTCTTTTCCTGCAGCCAGTAGAACTGTACAAAATGTACAGCAATTTTGTATATTTGTCGAAATGCCACGAATTGTGAAATGTTTATCTAGAAAATTATAGCTAAGCGCTGCATTTGCCGTGTTGCGTGTCCATGGGGCAAAGCTCAAGAGAGTAAAGTAACTCAGAGTCTGAATATTTATGAATAAAACAGTGTATAAGTGTGCATGTGTGTGTGTGTCTTTTTCGATGTCTGCATAAACCCGACAAGCGTCTTAACCGCTGCTAAAATAAGTAATTTTGTGCACATTTCACTTGTCATACGACACGTACTTACTTGCAACCACAAGCATCGCCTCTGCCCCTCTCTGTCACTCTGTGTCTGTGTGGGGCTGTCTGGTTGCTTGTGTTGTGTCTCGAAGCGCTTTTCCTACTTAGCAGCTAGCAAAAAGTTGCAAGTTTCTTGCATTCTCTGTGCGCCCTTTGCCCTTGTCTCTGGCACATAACGCGTATTAAGTGCAGTTAGCTACCAGATAGATACAAGATACAAGATATAAGATACAAGCTACAAGTTTGCCAGCGCTTGTTAGTTGGCTGCTTCCTGTTGCAACCAGGTTGCCACTAAAGCTGCAGCGCTTTTCGAGAATATATATATATATATATATATATTTGTCTATTTACAGCATTAAGATATTCTCACCAGGCATTTGCAATTGTCTTTATGCCTTTTGCAAGCGCCCATTTTAA